TCACATCCAAGAAGTCGTGGACTTTCGGCAAATTCGAGGCCAGAGCTAAGCTCCCGAAAGGCAAGAACTTATGGCCAGCCATTTGGATGATGCCTAAGGCCTCCGTCTACGGCGGATGGTATGTCTCGCCTCCCACCCCATCTCTAAACTAATTGTTTGACAAATTTGTCTCTTAACCGATCAACTAATACAGGGCTGCGAGCGGTGAGATCGACATAATGGAGGCCAGAGGTGAGAGGCCGAGGATCACTCAGGGAACCATTCACTACGGAGGCTCGTGGCCTAACAATGTTTGGCACGGCTCAGGGGAAAAGGATTTGGGCAAAGACTTCACCGCCGATTACCACACCTTCGCGTTGGAGTGGGAGAAGAATGAGATCCGTTGGTACGTCGATGGCGCCCAATACCACTCCGAGAACATCAATAAGAATATGTGGTCCCATAAGGGCACCAACCCCTACAACCATAACGGCGCCCCCTTTGACCAGGATTTCTTCTGGATCCTCAACATCGCCGTCGGAGGCAACTTCTTCCCGGCCGCCCAGTACGGCCCTCAAGTCACCCCCGATGAGGCCAGAAAATGGGAGAAGCCTACCATGGAAATCGATTACGTCAGGGTTTACCAACAGAAGTAAATTCACCCGGGCTTGTGCCACATTCATTAATGTGATCGCTTTGTATTTACATAATGTAAAAATAAATATTTGTTTGCTTAAATTTGTGTCACTTATTACTTGGAGATAATGTGAGAATAATAACAGAATATTTTGATAATCACTATGAGAGTGATTTTTATATAAAATAAATTAAAATAGGTTTTAAGTGCGAATTATCAGTAGCATTTTACCTAATATTTATCAATTTATATTTGAAATGTAGATTTATCGGGCCATTATTGAAGTTTATTATTTTCTAATTTTTATGGTATTATTTAATATATAAATAATTTTAAGTCAAAATTCACTGTATTAATTAATTAAATATACACTATACAATATTTGTATTCTAGATTTTAAAAAGCCGATATTACTTTAGATTAAAAAAAATAATTTGTTAGAAAATATTTAAATATAGAAAAATTTTATTCTGTAGTCCAAACTAAAATACTAACATATTAAAACTTAAATACATATTTTTACTAGGTTCTTATCGTATTTTTGCACTTAAAATAAAAATAAAATAACAAATGCATTAAAAAGTATAAATAATTGTTTTCTATAGTATACTTTTAATAAATACAAAAAATAAATTCTTATATATAAAATACCTATAAGTAGACACCTCTCGGATAACTTAATAAATGAATACATTATTATTAAATAATCAGCAATATTCTCAATAATTCTATTGTTATTATAGTTTAAACTTGAGAATTTTGAAATATATAAATTTACAATGTACCAGGATCAAGAATATTTATAATACGATTCTTTGACAATAACAACTTATAAATTTAATATTTATATTATGGATCAATGAAACGAAACTCATATTTCAATTCTACTCGAGTGTGACTGTCTTATTAAGTCTTATTAATA